TTTGAGTACATAAAAAGTATCTTTTCGAGCCTATATAACTCGGGTGATTAAGCCATGAATGTGATTTGAAACTTTGTGCCCTATGGTCATCTGACTTGGGAGTCATTGATCTAAAACTCGCTACATGGGTTATATAGAAAGCAAATGAAAATATACTAAAAAAAATGAAGAAAACATGAAAATGAAAAGAAAAAAATATATACTCAAATACATTGATTATGCCTCAGGCATTTAGTCGACAAAACTAAACATTTGATAAGAAACAAGTAACTTAGTCTAGTTTTAAGGGTTAAAGTAATAAAAAATATAGGAGAATCTCGACTTATTGAAGTGTGAACTTGTAAGAGTGAGGTTTGTCTAAACTAAGAGAGTGTAAGAATAGAATTGAATAAGTTCAACTTAGGATGCACCCCGAGAAAATTGAGTGAAAAGCATAAGTTTGGGGGTGTGTATCTCTCGAGCGAGGTAAAGATATATTTGACTACTATGGGTCAAGTGTTGAACAAATCACAATCTTAATTTGTTAACATGAGTTTCCACACACACACGTCGGGTTATGCATGTAATAGGTGGAGATTTATTTAATTTTTGCACTATTGTAATTGTTCAATTGTTGATTACCAAATTCCAATCCCGAGACACGGCATATTGTTGGATCATGTTGCACATAGAGTTGAGTTATATTATTTTATTTGAAGATAAACAATAATTCAAGTTTTGGGGAGTTTGATAAGTGCGTTTTTACACACTTATCTTACTTTAAAACATGGAAATTGTTGATTAATATGTTGGAATATAACTTAATTCTATGTAATTTATGTTTTGTAGGACAAGTGATTAATTAATGTAACGGAAATAAGGAGAAACAAGTGAAAAATGATCAAAATAGAAGAAAGTTAAAGTTCAGGGACTAAAGTGCAAATACTCTAACTTGTTTCTAACCTTATGATGAAGATTCGAGAGTGTTAGAGGTCAGTTGGATGAAGAAATGAGTCAAATGGATGAAAAATAGTCAAGACGTTATCACATATCAATTTTCAAACTGAAAAGTTTTGCACCGATTTTTAACTTCATATTGAGACCAGTTTTTGACATGGAAAACGATAGAATTCGGAGATGGAATATCAAGAACAATTGTAGCCCTTTGAGTTATCTTTCCTATGCATCTTGAATCACCTCAATCGGATATCGGGAGAGAAAATTATGATGAAAATACTGAAAATTGTCCAGTGGAAAAATCTTAAACCTATACGGTCGCATAGGGTTATATCTATGCGATCGCATCTCACCTTTCAGAAATTTCCAGTGGCCAATTTCAGCCTTCTATACGAGCGCAACACTTATACCTATGCTGTCGCATATGGTATTTTCATGGCAAAAATTCTGGTTTCCGAATTTAAGTCAACCACTTATTGTAATTTATTTTGGCACGATTTTTCAACCCTAAAACACCCGAGAACGGCCCAGGATGCCTCATTCTTCATTCTACACTATTCTTTCATTGATTTTGGCTTAAGAAACCCATAAAGAACTAAACTATTGGTGAAGCTAGGGAGGAACTCCATCGAAATTGGTAATTTCACATCTATTATTCACGTATTTTGATATTTTCTTGTTGAAAAACTCTAAAATTTATAGTTTCTTTTTCTAAATTTTTAATGAGATTTATCTATGCATGATGTATAAAGCCGAATCTATGATTATTTTGGTATTTTCTTGTTGAAAAACTCTAAAATCTATGATTAAATTTTATTAAATTAATCATAAATTCAATTAGACTTTTTCTATCGACGAATTGAAATATTTGTTGAATTATCTCATGAATGATATTGGTGGATTGTTTACTACTTTATGCATGATGTATAAAGCCACTTTTCTGATCTTATTCCAATGCATAAATGCGTAATTGCGTTATAGGGAAACTAGATTCTAGAGTTACAATTGAAATTAAGTTGATTTAATGGTTTGTTTTCCTCATCATGAATTGATTTTGAGATTTGATTTTGAGATTTGCTTAATTTTTATTAAATTAGTCATGCTCTCTCTCTATAGGTTGATTGAAATAATTACTTAGGTTTTAATCTCAATTATTTAAGTTTATTGGTGTGATTCTCTACCGCTTTATGCTTTAGTATATAGTCGAGTTTGAATCTGATTTCGATAAACCAAGTGTGAACATTGCAATAGGAAGATTAACCATTTATAATCACATTAGAATTAAATTGGGTTTAAACGACATATCTTCCGATCAGAGTGCAGGGATGAAAGCCTCTAATTGTGTTATAAAACTGGAATAATTGATGTGATTGATCCGATCCAATTGAGAGAATCCGACGCTTCACCATCTCATTCATTAACTTTAATTTCCATATTCTCAAAATTGATCTCGATCCCGTGACAAACAAATCTATTTCTTATCATCCGTGAGAGCACCCATCATTTTTTATCCTTTAAATATTTTTCCATCTCCCCGTGGGTACGACATCCCAAAACTACACTACAACTACCGCGTTATTCTTTGGGCGTAATAAAATTTTGGCGCCGTTGTCGGGAGAGACGATACAAAAAATTAAGGGATTCAATTGTTAAAGGGTAACTTCACTCCTTTCCTAACTCCTTTATTCAATTTATTATTTTATTTGTTATTCTTTATTTTCACTTTATTTTCTTTTTATTTGTGTTTCATAAGCAAGTATTGAGGAGAACGAGAAATATCTGCTATAGAGTTTGAATATCTTTTTAACCCTACTTTTGATTCTGTATGTGTTAAAACTGATACTTCATCACACAACACCATGAGTGATAGTGAGCATGAAGCACCTTTTATGACTTTACATGATTATCTTCACCCCACACGCACATCCATACCATCACGCATTATTTTTCCACCTAATATGCCACGTATGGACCTTAAACCGGGAATGATTCAACTTCTTCCCACTTTCATGGACTTGAAAATGAAAATCCATATGTGTATATTAGGTAATTTGAGGAGGTGATTGCAACTTTCCACAATCAACATGGTACAACAGATGTATTCAAACTTAAATTTTTCCCTTTTTCGCTTAAAGATAGAGCAAAAAGTTGGATGTACTCGCTGAAACCACGTTCGATTGGAACATGGAGTGAAATGACTCAAACTTTCTTCAGTAAATATTTTCCCCATCATAACACTAGTGCTCTGAAAAAACAAATTTCTTCATTCACTCAAAAAGATAGCGAAACCTTATACCAAGCATGGGGGCGATACAAAGAGCTTCAAGCTCTTTGGCCCCATCATAATTATGAGAGCTGGCGTATTGTGAGTTATTTTTATGAGGGACTAACACTTAAAGAGCGTCAATTTATCTTCACGAGCAATATATCAATATTCTTATGGAATAAGAATATTGAAAATTATAATTTGTGCTTTTACTCAGAAATCGATTAATATTCTTCTGAAATGTTGGAATCAGAGTGCCATACTTTTCAGGAGTAATAACATATTATTATTTGAAATAATAAACTGTATTAAAGTTTATTTTTCATGAGTTAAAACACAATTTATTTTATTTAATTATGTTATTCAGGAGCAAGTAAAATCTAACTATAATATTAATAATAGTGTGCTATTTCAAGAGCAACAATATTTGTAATAGACAGATCTAAGATTAATAATCTTCAGAAATATTAATTATAATGTTGTGTTATTTCAAAAGTAAAAATATAATAAATTATTAATTTAAAGTTTATAGAAGAATACCTAAAAATATTTTTATTACCATATAGACATAATATGAATTTATATATAAAAATATTAATTACAAAAAAATGTATTAATAAAAAAATCTTCCAAACGTGCATTAGGAAAAAAATCTTCATATATCGAATTTAATGGTAGAATATTATAGAATGAAATACATTCAATGAAATACGTTCAGTAACATACTGTAGAATACTTGCGCATAAAGACATTTATTAATGCAAAAATTACAATGACAGTTTATATAAGCATGAATAAATTCGAAGACATGTGATTAAACAGAAATTGGTGAATTCGATTTCGTACGATTAATTCAAAGACGTGATTTTATGTACATACATGAATCATAAAGATTGTACAAATATAAATTCAAATACATAAATCATAGATCATGTATATGTACATGCATGAATTGACTAAATATGAATGAATTAAATTCTATATAGACATGCAAACAAACATGTATACATATGTGAATTGAAAAAGCAAGTTAAAATCTAACTACAAGTCTACACTGTTATGATATATGTGTGTATATTAAAAAAAATTCACATGTGATCAAATTAATTTTAGTACATGTGGTAGATGATTATGCTTAAAAAACATTACTACATTGACTAAACTTTGAAAAATTAAGTTATCGTACTAATAATGTGTTGTGAAAAGAGAGAATAAAAGTCAATAGATTTGTATGTATTATAATGAGAACCAAAGTCCTATATTTATAGGGAATGATTATGAATACATATGATAATAATTTCTAAAGTTGTAGGGATACAATTGTCATTCACCAATAACTTATCATTTACAAAAAAACCATTATTTTTAAAGTCCTACAATAGCACGGAAATTGATCGGTTAAGATGGTTTAGTACATGTTTGGCAAGTGTTTATAAATAGTTTAAAATCAATGATGAATAGGTGAATATTACTTATAAATTTCACTGAATTTTTTACTTTTAGCAAACATATCCTTACTTATGGCTGTCTGGGTAAATCGAACAAAGCCCAGAAGAGGTTAAAAGCCCGTTTGGTTATCACAGTAGGTGCAGGCACGAGAAAGGCAAACAACGTACACTTTCATTTGCGTGTCTATCTGCAAATGCATCCCGCTGTTTCTCCTTAATTTTCTTCTCCGATTCAACCGACAAAACTCCGCTGAGACATTAAATTCTCAATCCTCATTTCATAAAGAAAAAATAAAATAGACAGTATACCGAATACAATAGGTAAACCGGGAAAGAAGAAAAAGAGAAAAATGGCAACAGAATCATCTGGTGGGGCTGGGAAGAAGAGGCAGAAGAAAGGGAAAATCCCACAAGAAGTTACCAAAGTTTCTGAATCCACTCGAATTCATGTGTCCAAGATTCTTGAAGAGTTCCGTAAATCTGATGATGAAGGTAATTTAAATCCAAACGAAAAGAATTATTCGTTTATTGATTTATTGAGAGAGAAAAATGATGTGCATTCGTGTAAATATTTTGATTTTTACTTATTGCTTAGTTGTGATTTGGTTGAACGCTATGCTGAATTTGATTGATATTTAAGAACTTGTAGCAGCTATATTTTTGTTTACCTTTTCAGGAATTGAGATTCATTTGCCTGAAAATGTAATCCATATGCACATTCTAGGCATTTATCTTTCAGATTGCGCCTATAACTAAATGTATATATGATGATGAGCTTTCATTTAGCCTAGAATCAATTAAATAGTGCAGTGAATCAGAAATTTGAAAAATTTAATTTTCTGAACCTTTGAGGCAGGTTGCATTTGTAAAACCTAAGTTTCAATTCAACATGTAATAATAGATTGCTTGGCAGATGAATTGAGTATTATATATCAGGCATCTCATAGTATAAAGCTGAGTTTGTTCGGACTTAATGCTGTCCTTGCTTGTTTATTCCTGTATATGAAGTTTGTTTTGTACCTGTCTGCAATGGATAAAACTATTCATTACCCAAATACGACAAATATGACAGCAGCCAGTTTCATTTGTCGCACACTATAACACGGTTTTTTAATTCTCAGACAAAATTATTGTTTCCACGACTCTATCGGAAAGGACACAAACGTATTTAGATTATTATAATATGTTGCATTTATGTAGATTGTATCATCATTCGACAGATGTACCCACTCTACTGTTTATTGCTAAATAGTGTCTATAAGATTGGTGCATTTTCTTCTTTTTCTTTCTTACTTTTTATGTTTGCTGCAGAACAAGAATGTAGAACCTCAAATGGAATGATTGAAGTTTAAGACTTTTCCTCCTGTTATTTATTATGTTCTTATATTTGGTAAAATATAGAAATTTAAGACTTTTCCTTCTTTTATTTATTATGTTCAAGTATTATCCGGTATGCTGACGTGTTCCTATTCTCTTTCTTGTCCAAATGTTTTTTCTTGTCCAAATGTTTTACTGTGCCACATTAAACGACTTGTTTCCATTTTCTGACTTTTTCTTTTGAAATATTATTTGGCTTGGACTCCCTTTTTGTATATTATATGTAATCGTCTATATATACACAAATATTTGATTAAGGTTGACATGATTATCTGACCGTAGATACCTTGGACCCACGAGTAATTAACGCTGAAAATTGGTAGATTGTCTGAGTACTGCTTATGCTTGGAGTTACGGGTACTACTATTTGTAAATGTTTACAAAGGGAGTTTCATCTTTTATCAGGCTGTGTAAGCCGATATGATTTGAACTTCCTGTACACACTTATCAGTTCCAAGCTAGATGATCCTGATCAGAGCATTTTTGGATTATGATATGATATATGGATGGCTGGAATTATAACTAAGAAATATTTTTTTCTAGAAAGAAGTAGATAGGCTTATAAAAGGGTAGAGTAGTGTAGTATTAATGATTGGATATGAATAATAGCACTAAAAGGTAGCCTTGAAAGTTTGTCATGTCAAGATTGAAAGGTGAGCACTATACTTACATGGCTGTTCTAATTGATTTAGGCAACTTTGACCTCATTTTTGTGCTGGCTATGCTCTGTATGGCTTACTACTGTTTTTAACTGCACAACTAATTTAGCACGTCTAAATTTTGCTGATGCAGTGTATACATTTGAAGCTAATCTGTCAAATCGAGATCGAGCTGCAGTGCATGTCCTATGTAGAAAAATTGGACTGGTGTCCAAAAGTTCTGGGTAAGTAATTACTTATAAGCATGATTATATTACCTAAATGATTTTGGTTTTTAGGTACTTTATCTTTCTGATGAAAGTAACTCTATCTAGGGGCGGGGATAATCGACGAGTTTCTGTTTATAAGACCAAAAAGGAAGTGGGCAAAAAGGGGAAGGAAAATCTTGTTTCTTTCAGATTTTCAGCAGAAGCAAAAGACGTTTTACAGGATTTGTTTTCTCGGTATCCCCCTGATGACGGAGAGATGTCTGAGAATAAGGTTGGAGAAAGTTCTGGAAGAACTGATAAAGTACGACCAAGAAAAGATGACATATTTTGCAAACCTGCAATGACCAAGTCTGAAATTGAAAGGGAGGTGGTGTCGCTTGCTTCGAGGATAGAAAATTCCCCATACTTGAGACAGGTCTAGTGCCTTGTTGCTTAGTTTACTTTCCCATTGAGTCTTGTGCACTCTTAGTACTGTTATTTATCAGCTTTAAATGTGAAAACCAAGCAAGTAATCGTGGTTCCATGTGTGTCTAGTGGCTCCTCTCCAGATTCCTTCCAATTGGATCTTTCAGGGATGTCGTTACATCGACTATAGATTCTCATCAGGTTGTCTTCATCAATTTTTACATAGTGTACATATTTTATTAGTTGCATATTTGTGAGTCTATCACACATACATACTGAATCACATTGATATCATGTAACAATTATAACTGTTAAGATCCCAAAATAACACACTGGTGAAAGGCTGTGTACAAAAGCTCCTACAACTAGAAAGTCCGGTTTACAGAGAATTGGAGAAGAAAGACTTTGTTTATAATTTATTGTTCAGCTTGATGGGATTTGTGGTTTTTGGTGACTGCTTTTTTAAAGTATTGTAGAGATCCTTTTTTATGTTTAAATTTGCAATTGTTTATCTCCTTTGGATTATGTCCAATAGATAAAAGATGTTTTCATCTTTCCAAAGCAGGTTGTGCTCATATCTGGTGAAACTGGATGTGGAAAAACGACACAGGTGACCATTTATGCTCCCTGCTGTTCTGGCCCTTCCCAACCCCCAAACAATAATTAATGAACTAATAGTCTGAATTGTAGTGCATTTAATTGTTTTTTTTCATCTTTTCACTTCGTCTTTTAAATTTTTTTCCTCCATTTTTTAATTGAAGGTATTCAAAAAAGTGGCAAAATATTGATTGTTTTTGTTTCGAATATTGTCTTTTCTGTGAGCATAATAGGAGAATGTAGATGGTTTGACATTTTGAAATGAAGTAAATTTTTGGGATGTTTAGATGCGCAATTTCTAGAAATCAATTTCCTTGAATTAAATAAATTATGCATGTGAAATAATTGAAAGGTGGCTAAAAAGTATTATGCTTTGTGATCTGAGATATGTGATGGATTGTGGTTTTTGTAGACTTAGTTCGTTATATCTTCAAAGGTTGAAATTGATTATAT